AGTGTTATATAAGTATTATATATGAAATATATTGATTAGGATATCTATTAGGTAGTGTATGTGTGTATAAATATTAATTTCTTCTTCTTCCTTTCTTGCTTTTCTTATGGGTTATGATATGTAAACATGTTTTTATATTTTAGTGTATAGTAAAAAAACAATTATATTACATAGATGTTGACAAATGTATTATATATATATCATAGAAAACACGTTATTTAAACAACTAACAGAAATTTGTTATTTTGCTTTAATTTCTGATTTCTGATCAACAAAATTGTTTAATTATAGTTAAAACTAGAATAAACAATATGAAGGATCCTTTAGAAAGATAAATATAGTATATAATATTGTGTTGCATAATAAGTTACATACAGATAGTTACATACATTTTACCAATGTTTGAAAGGCGCTTTAAAATTATGATGCATGTCATTTTAGTAATTCAATATCTTTATTTCGTTTTGTTATTTCGAGAAACATACATTTTTGATCATTTATCATTGAATTAAAATCAGTAAAAAGCTTAAAAAAAAAAAGAAGAAAGTTTAATAAACATTATGAACTGTTCTTAATTTTAACTGCAAATGCACAATCAAAATAACAAAGCAATATATTTAAAATTAAATATAAAAAAGATATGAACACACTTCACATGATGGATGGGCCACTGTTTTTGGTGAGATAAAACGTAGATTTGGAAAATAATGTATATCTATGTACGCAACACTTATATTTATAATATATTTTCTTTAATAATATTTGTTTAATATTGTACTTTTTTCCCATTAATTATGAAAATATCATCCTCACTCACATTTCCTTTCAAAAAAAGTGCTATAATACATAGTATATGTGTTATAGTAGCTATACATAGTTTCAGATACAAGTTATATTGACACACATCTTGTTATTTTATTTATTTGTATAGTGTGGTACATCCGAAATAGTAGTAAATATAAAATAAAATAGAATTGGGTTAACAAAGAATAAAGTTGATATGTAATTAAACAATGGTAAACCAAAAGATTAGGTTAGAAAGAAAGGTTATGTGATTATAGATTTTTGATCCAGTGGATGGAATCTGGGTTTAGAAACAGAAGATCTCTTTTGTTGCCTTAAAACGCGCAGATAGAGTAGTTTGACATTATGTGGTCGATAGTTTGCTATTTAGTCGCATGGAAGTGATTCGATTAAGCTATTGCTTTTTTTATCTGTGTAGCATTTGGTTACAGCNGCCATATCTTGTTATGAGCCTATTTAAGGTTGACCAGTCTCTACGACGGATGTCCTTTTAGCGTGATGTAAGGTCAGTCACTGTGTTATGTAAGTCTAGAGTCTAATCAAAAAAAAGAGATACATGGTTTCTGAAAGCAAATTTTATCTCGTTACAATTTATTTTTGGCGGTAAAAGCGTTTGTTGGTAACAAGGGATATTCGAGGATATTCTGTGCCGCGAGAAACAGGACATGAGGATAAACCTTTGCTTACGGAAAAATGATGCTGAACAGAGTTTAAATGATAACAATAAAATTTGTTAACAATACGTCAAATGTCATATTATGGTAAAATAATTACATATGCATTGTGTCCCACCATGTTCGACAGATTTTTTTAGTACTGTTAATATTAAATTTTTTTCTTAATCAATAAAATAATATCTTATGCGATAAGGAATTAGCACGGTAATTTTTTACCTTCTATTGTTTTCACGGCTATTTTCAAAAAATTAAAACTGCTGTAACTAAGAAACTATTAATCGGATACGAATGTATGATACATTGACATTTTTAGAATAATATTTTTTACAAAATAACTATTCTGAAAAAGTTTTATTGTGAATAAATACAATTATTATATTTGTATTTCTAGGATGATAATAAAACTTTATTTTTTCTCCAAATCGATATCTCTCTCGAAGACAAACCGATTGAAAACAAATAATCGAAAAAAATTCAATATCAACAACGCTAACAAAATCCGTCTAACATGGTGGAACACACTGTACATTTTCTTTAATAATATTTATTTAATATTATACCTATTTTTCCGTTTTAGAATAAGAATGTATTGGTTTTATAATGATGTTTATTTTAATTTCATTTTTTATGTGAACACTTTTTCGACCAGAAGGTTTACTACGATTCGTATACGATGTAGACCATTTCTGGAAGGATAATTCCTTGAGGTGGTACTTTAAGGAGATAATTTTTCGAATTTCTTAAGAGTTTTCTCATCAAATGTGAATAGCCGAAAAAAAAATAATGATAAAATGTACGAGATATTAGTAAAATATTATGATTTTTTTTTATGTAGACAACTTTTCTACCAAAAATTTTGCTCTGATTTACAATGGTAGTAATTTTTCTAAGAAGAAATCCGACTGGGAAGGTACTTTAAGGAGATCATTTTTCGATTTTCCCAAGAGTTCCCAGTAAATGGGAAAAACCGGAAAAAAAACATAGGAGAACGTGAAAATCGGTACAATATTAAACAAATATTAGTAAAGAAAAATATAAATATTGCCTATTTAATGATTGTACCATAATATGACATATATATATATTGCTGATAAAGATCATTATGAACTGAACTCCACTCAAAATCGCTTTTTCGTTAGCAATGGTTCATCGTTGCTTACAAAATATAATTGTATTCGCAAAAGGTTAAAATAGAAAAATGAATATCACAAGATGAGCGCAGAGCGGAGTAAATAAATTGATAAAACAATCGAAAATAAGTTTTTCGACAACAAATATCAGTCGAAACGAATGATCGAATAATACGATCGAAAGTGTGATCGCAAAACTGTTTGAGAATACGGACAACGGATTTATTTTAATCGATCGAAAATAAATGTCTTTTCCATCATATTTTGATCGAAAACGCTTTCCGACTGATTTGAGAATAAGCTCACAGAATAATCTAAAATTGGTATCTATGAAAAAAAATAAAATATTCAGCGGTGCATTGAGTAAATGATTTCTTTCATTTCCCTTGTAGTCTACGGGCGGCAGATGCTACCGCGGCCGCAACCGACCGGTGCCATGGGATCCTGGTACACGCATCGCGGTTCCGATGACGTCGTCACCGTAGGCTCCGCCCCCACGGCGTGACCGACGTCGCTGTCAAAGGCCAGCGGCAGATGTTATCGCCGCCGCGACCGTCCCGTGTCATGGGATCCTGGTACGCGGATCGCAGTTTTAGTCTCATTGTAGCCTGGCAAATTGGCCATGGACCGCGGACATCGTGGCCGCCGCGCACGCGCAGCTCTTACCTTACCATCGCAGTACACGCGTTCGTATAGATTTTACATTATTCTTTTCGTCACGCAGTCTAATATAACGAATGGAGGTATTACATTGTCTTCTAAGATAATCATCCTGACATTGCTTCTTTAAAATGTCTCACATTATCGGTGTGGCGTGAACTTATTATTATTTCAATGATGCAGTAAAATTATTCAAAACCCACCCTTCTCTCCGTAACGGAGCTGCATAAATTTAACCCCATTTATGCCGCCACTGCCCAGTATTATTGCCGTATACATTTTATATATTTTAAATTCAACGAGTTATTTTTTTATCATTACATGCGTCGTCCTTGATTTTAGATTCTGAGTGGAGCGAAGAAGCTCACGGTTGCACAAAGATGTTTATTTTTTTTTTTTTATCTTTGCGCAACTTTTCTACCAGAAGACTTGCTCGGATTTCTAGATTTCCACGTGTAGTATCTTTTGTGAAAGGAAATCGGCGTGAGGAGATACTTTGGTGAGGGAAGTCATTTTTTGATTTTCTTAGGAGTTTTCTCATCAAATTTCAAAAACCAAATAAAAAACGGNTTTTTCTGTGCAAAACTTTTCTACCAACAATTTCGTTCCAACTTTTAATTATAGCAATGTTTCTAAAAGAAAATTTCACAAGGTACTTAAGAAAGGTCATTTTTCGATTTTCTCAAGAGTTTTTCCAGCAAATGTGAAAAACCGGGAGAAAACGAAATTCAAAGAAAATATATAAATCCTATTTAATTATTTTACTATAAAATGACATAAATTTTGTTGACAAAGCATCACTGTCAACCGAACTCCGCTCAGAATCGATTTTTCGTAAGCAATGGTTTATCGTTGCTTTCAGGTATACATTAAATTATCTATAACAGTGGCTGCACCCGTCTCCATTATCGTAGGACATTTGTTTTAGAATTATCACATTATGTTCAAATTCTAAATGAATTTACAAATAAACGTTGTTACTAGTTACAGCATATAATAACTAAATATTATTACCATTATTTTGATATAGACGATTCTACATTATTACAGTTCTGTTTTAATATATAGATGATTCTAAACTATGACAGTTCCGTTATGATAATATAATATAGAAGCGATTCTAAATTATTATTAGATATTCAAGTTAACTTTCGAATTATTATATATTCAACTTCACTATTTTTGTAAATTATTATACATTCAACATTATTTAATTTCTAAATTATTGTATATTCAACTTCACTTAGTTTATAAATTATTAGATATTCAACTCAACTGAATACAGACAATTNTTTTATCAAGTAAGTGTTAGAATAAAAATAATAAATAATTACACAATAAGGTATCTTCCGAGGATTTATTTTAATGCCGAGTTTACACGATGCGATGTACTTGTCATTAATACTAATTGTAATACTAATTGTACCAACAATATCCATAACTTCTACAATTTTCTACAATTCAACTCGCGGTTTTACTATCTTATTGGGTAGTTAAAACAAAATATTTTGAAAAAAAAATGTTTTATTTCCACTCAGATTTTGCCTCTAAGTACGAGCAAGCGGTGCCTGCACCCTGAGTCCCGCGCTTAGTAAGGGCCTGCGCATACTAAAAAAAAAAAAATAAAAGTTCGTATCTAAATATACAAAATGATTTAATCATTTATATTTTACGAATATTTTGGAACATTATAAAAAAATCAGAAATAAATACACTAGTAGAATAATTGTTTATAAATATTATAATTATTATTATTGTATCACTGAGCAGTTGTGCATTTCATATTGACAAAAACAGCGTTACGCGGTCGCGTTATCGACCAACGACCATCGTGATAACGACTGGTCTATTTTAGATTTTGGATACCTATTATTTTTTTACTTGTTGACTCTCAGCGTTTATTTTTGTAAATTTATAATAGACAACTCTCGTGGCGTGGCCTAGCTACACATTGTGGCTACTTTTGAGCGACAATATTACTGATTAACGCCGCTGCACCAACGCAATAATTGTATTTGTGTATTTTAATATTCTAATAGGCTCTGACAAGGTTTTTGATAACCTAAGATAGATTGNACTTGTTGACTCTCAGCGTTTATTTTTGTAAATTTATAATAAACAACTCTCGTGGTGTGGCCTAGCTACACATTGCGGCTACTTTTGGGCGACAATATTACTGATTAACGCCGCTGCACCAACGCAATAATTGTATTTGTGTATTGTAATGTTCTAATAGGCTCTGACAAGGTTTTTGATAACCTAAGCTAGATTGCTTGAGTGTATAGTTATTGTTTAGTTCATGTTCGTCGAAAGAGCTGACATTGTTTATTTTACTTCAATATTGACGTCATAGGTACGAAAATTGAAGGTATGTACATATGTATATATATATTATAATTTTTTTTTTGTTAAGTTTTGCATAATATACAATTTAAATAATTTATGTACAATTTATCTGACACGGACTGTACTATCTATGATTGTACAAATTTAATCCAATTATTCATTATCTATTTACTTAGTAGGTATTTTTTAATTATAACTTTTTGAAGTGAAATCTTGCGCCCTGAGAGTAAAATTGCAATACAGTTTTAGCCGTCACGTAACTGGCACGCACTGTGTTCACGTCATTAGCTGTTAACACATTCACACACACTAGTGACACTGCGAGTGAATTCAATCAGAAAACCATTCAGAGAAACTTTTAATACTTCCGTTAACGATCATCTCTAAAAGACGGTCACTTCTATATAACGGTCATTGTTTTGATCCTGTCAAGTGGTTTGCCTTTATAGGACACCTCTAAATAGTGGTCATTATTTTCCCGGTTCCTTTGGTGTCCGTTATATGGAAGTTTTACTGTATATAGTGCAGGTCGAACCCCTCTTTCAGATTAAACCACTTTTATATCTATGAATGCAATCCTCGATATTCTGGTCATTTAAAATTTTGATTTAATATGTTATCAAGATCACTCTTCTGATTACGAAAATGTATACATTACTTATGTTAATGCAGATAATAACGTATCCTGAGCAAATTAAATCTGTCAGGATTAAAATTCAGATTTTCGAACTATTCGAAATCCAGGTTTTTTCCACCACTAGAACACACACAAACACATACAATATAGCCCATTATAATTTTTGTGACAACAGAATAAGAAAATTAAAATAAACAATAATTAATTTAATTAATTTCAATTGGATTTTATTCCGATATAAACCTAATATTCTATCGGTTGAATGGCTCTGAGGGAAGTTCGAAATATCCATATCCAAATCGTATTGTATGTCATTCTATAAACAATTCATTTCAATTCTTATGAAAACAATGCAATTTAATCTAGCTGTTTAAGTGTAGGGAGTTTCATTTTAAATATGCGCACATAGTGCACACACAGGATATTTTATTATCAAATTTTTCTTTATGTACTGATTTTCAGTCAGGCCGTTTACATAAATTTATCAAATTTATTTCATTAGAATAACTTACTTAATTAGTAATTAATAAGTAAAGAATTAATTTTTTTTTGTTAATATAAACCATGTTAAATATACTTTTAAGAATAAATAAACATAATTAACTAAACAGTTTATATTAATAGTCTAATTTTAATGGAGTAATGTAACATTTAAATTAAGAAGTCTCGTTAAAATATTTTGCAATATACAATTTAACAGGTTATTACATTTTTTTATTTGCTTATGATGAGCTGATAGAAAGGTTATTAGGCTTATTAGTATTTTGAAAAGTATTAAAGTAGGTGTGAGGATCTTTTTTTTTGAGTATTAGTTTATTTTAAAAGAGGTTTGCCCTGGGCCCCGCAAAAATTAAAGAAGGTCCTGTTTCCACTGTTGTTAGGAAGTTTTGGAATAATAATACATTTGTATAGTGTTTTGAAAGGAAATCGTGTTAGTGAATAGTTATATTTTTAGAATGTAAGTTAGATAGCTTTTTAGTGATTATCACTTAAAACGCTTTTGGTATAATTGATAATTTAGAGATAGGTTTATAGTTTTTAATATTATGTTTATCACCGAATTTAAAGGTAGGTGTAATATACGATTTTTTCCAATACTTTGTGAACACTCCGATAAAGAGAGCGATAAATTGAATAAGTGAAGCAGAGGTTTGATAAGTATAGAGAGATAGGATTTTAAAAATATAAATTATAAACCGTCCAGTACAGTTCCTGTTACATCATTTAGAGAGTCAAATGTTTCCGGCATTTCTGTTTCAACAATAGTACATGAATTTAAGTTAAGATCAGGATAATATATTGTGTACGATGTTCCTTGTAGACATGTAATAACCTTATTGTCAGAATACACCAAGGAAATATAATTTGCAAATAATTTGGAATTTTTCACAATATTATCAGCAAAAATACTATCCAGCATAATTGAAGACGGAATACTCGATTTATTTGGACTTTAGAGTTTTTATATACTTCAAAAAAGATTTATAATTAAGGTTAATATTATTTAAATTTTTGAAATATGATTCGCCTATATACGATAAAATAAATATTTACATTTTTTTTTTTGTCAAGTAATATAGCTACTATCCGGTACCCATCGTAATATTAAATTTTTACCCGGCTCATACTCGGTACCCGATGTAGTACCTACATTTTTACTCAACTCATACTTTTACAATGTTACAATTTATAAACTTGTAAATTACATGTGTATAGACGCAGTTTATAGGTTTATTTTTCTATAAGTATTACCGAATTATCTGTAGTCATGAATGAAATCGTATGTCGCATTATACTTTTAATGTTGCACTTATTTCTTTTCTATGGTTGTACCTACGTTTTATTTATGTCACACGCAAAACCTTAATTTAATATTTTTATTGAAACCTTAGCAATAAATTAATAACATTTAACTATATTGTGTATATTTAAATTATAGGGCGCAGGCCTAATAAAACACCATGGCAACCAAACTAGGATCGGACATCTCACTGATCCAACATGAGGATGTGTTACTGGAAATGGTACGACATCGTTAAATTTGTTTAAAAAAAACTAGTTCTTTTTTTTCTTTTTTTTTTAGTTGCGACAAACCGAGGACTTTGGTAAAAAGAAAGAAATTCGTATGAGGATTCATGAACTTCGAAAACAACGACTAAACGAATTTTACACAAGAGAAATGATTCAAATAAAAACTACATCGAAACGCTCATCGACGGAATCTATTACGGATCAAAAATTTATGACGATGAAAACGAAAGTGATTGGAGATTCTGAATCACCCACAGAAGTGTACCAGAAAAAATCAAATGCTAATACTAATTTTCCAGTTAAAGAAGTAAAATCAAAAAAAAAATTTAATATTGTAAAACAAAGTACAATAATAAATAGAACCAGTACTATAATACCCCAAGACAAATCCCCTGTACCAGATGTAAAACCAAAAGAAAAGTCTCCAGTTAAACTGCGAGAAAATTGTTCAGTTAAAGAAATAAAACCATCTTTCGAAGATGACATTAAAAAAATAGACATTGAAGTTCACGATACGTCAACGAATGCAAACACACAGACCCCCACTTTAATNTGAAAATAACGATGTTGTTGAAAAATTAGCTAGGGCTACAGAAACTTTAGAAAGGAGTACGACCAAAAGTCCTGAAAGGAAACTACTAATAGATTTTAAAGTTGATACGAGTAGAAATTATCATGAACAATACACAGCCACCACGACCAAACAACGAACCACCACTACTGCTGAGACTGAATTTGGTGTGACAACAAAACCTGCATTAGTACCAAAAGATACACCAACTATAATTCAATCAACTAAAATTCATATTACTGACGATGAAATGCAGATTGAAAAAATATTTGATTTGCAAATTTTAGAAATTATGGTAAATATACAAATATAATAATAAGCAGGGCTCGGATTTTATAATACTAAAAATAACTGAAATATGCGTTATAATATAACCTAACAAGTCTTGGAAATTAGCGTTATAATATATCCTAAAATGTTTAAAATAAGCTATAGAATCTCACAAAAACATGAAAAATGGTTAAAAAGAAAATCTGATACTAGAGATAGGTGTGGCCACTACTGTAGGTGGTTAGTTGGGAAGGTGGGATTCATAAAGTTATTTAATTGATACTTGTTACCTACGATAAACAACGATTGCTGACGAAAAACAATTCGGAGCGAAGTTCAGTTGTACATTTTATGAAAGGCCGTAATATTTACGATTTTTATTAAAATTTGTTTTTAAAACTTATAAAAAAAATATAATAAAAAATACTACATTATACTCCTTTTTTTTTCAAGTAGAACTTATAAATCGTCTATCAAATTTTCAATCATTTCTGTTAAGTCTTAAACATTTTATCCATGGAGTATCTACCGAATAAAAATGACGTAAAAACTATCAAAATTAAAATGTCTATAAATAGTTTAAAAAGGAATCAAATGGCCTCTTTTCGTTTTTCTATTGAAGCAATTTGTATGGTAGAAGATAACCGAACAATTTTAAATAATAAAATCATAGCTCCGTAATTTGAAAAAAAAACGTATTTTTTGATTTTTCCAATTCTTTTGAAAAATATTTTGGATTTTAAAAATTACCTTTTCTAACGGTGACTGTAATATGTTAAAAGGAACAAAAACGATCTCTTGTCAACTTTTAATAGGAGCAATATTTCTGGTAGAAAACATAAGTAGTATAAATTCAAGACAATGAAATTGGTAACGTTGCGGCGTACCGTAAATATTTTCCGTTTTATCTATAATTTTCTTTCCGGATTTTTCCAATTATTACGAAAACCCATTGGAAAATAAAAAAATAACATTTCTAATACATCAACTAGAAAAAATTTCCTTTCAGAAAAGGGACTATACTGTATAATCATCGGAGCTAAATGTCTTTTTGAAAAGTTGTTTATAGATTGAAAAAAAAAGAAAAAACCACGCATAGGAATGCTAAGTTCCGAATCTAAAATAATTTTGATATAAGATCTAAACATTTCTATTTATTTATTTATTTTTAAAATTTATTAATCAAATAAAAATGCGTTGAACAAATACAACAATTTATAATTCGATATATGTTTTTTACATTTATTACATTTTGGTATGTACTGGTTTAGCTTGAAAAGATTGCGGGTTACGATCGCAAAAGACGAATAATAGCCCAAATACGAATAGTTAAACGTCAACTTGAACCATCGAAAATTGGAAAGGATACAACAAACACCATAAGTCGTGTATCGAAGGTATAGAATTTCATCATTTTTATTAGTAAACAAAATATCTAGTTTATTACTACTATTTAATACTACTTACTACTATTTATACACTGCCCATTGATTGTATAGACCGTTCGAGATGGTTCGCCAGCTAAGTTACAAAAACGAAATAACAGTAAAACCGTACACGAAGTTGATTTCGTGAACTCGAATCAGATTGATAACAAATCTGTGGGGGGAAAAAATACTAAGGACAAGTTTGAAAGTATCCTAAAAATATTTCGTCAAGAAAGTTTTGATCAAAATAGTAGGCGTTCGTCTAAAGAATCAAATGGATATGAAAAAATTGAAGGATCGCCACAATCTACGCCAAGATCAAATTTTGTACGTGGAGATTCCATCAAAGCACTTCAACACAAGTTCCAGCAAGCCACTGGTAATTGTTAATAGTAATTTTATAAAGTTCATTATACTTGTGTATAGTTTTAAATATGTGTGTGTGTATCAGTTTCGTCTAGTTTTAAACAGAATAATTCTACTAAATCCAAATCACCTAATACTGTAAGACAAACCAAAGTTCAAACAGTCATTAACAAATTGAATTTATCGAAAACCGATGATTCGATTTTCCTCCACAACAATTCAAAAGCAACTGGTATACAAGATGTATTAACCAAAATGCGAAATGCTGATTTAGGTAATAAAACCACCAAGAGAAAATAAAATACCTATTGATATTTATTCGGAGTTCTTTTTATGGTTAATATCAGCATCTTTGCCCACTTACGAGCGAAGATATTGAAGCTCGTGCATTATCCAACAAGATTTTAGGTGCATCAGTAATTCCTCATGGAATGGAACAAGGAGAAATGTCTCCGATTTCTAATCAAACTGCAACGAAAAGCAGTGCTTCACTTATAAACCAGGTTGAAAAACAAAGAGCTCAGGTACCTTTATGACTATAATTAGTATAGTTACTATATAATAATGATACATAGTTAAAAAAAAAATACTAATAGGTAGTAATAACTTGGAACAAATTTAGTAAAAAACCATTGGGTAATGCTTGAAAATATCCTCAGTGGAACATTATTAAATACATTTTATTATAGTTCACGCATTTATATTATCTAGGTACATTACGTTATATATGAAATGTATAACATTTTATAGATTTCAATAAATGTAATACAAATTTAAATATCTCGAGGACTACATAGTGTAAAAACATTTTTCTTATAGTTTAATACATTAGGAAGGTTAAATTTATTTTTCAGGTGCTTAGCTCCCATCCCTTTGAGGGATTTTAGTTAAATTAATTATAACATCAGTGATGATGTTCTTATCGTTTTTTTTTTTTTTGTCGGTTGTTTATTGTGTGTAGAACCTGACCTGGTTCGAAAGGTATAGATAGGCCCACGCTTACGGTAGAATTTTTCAGGGGTAGCATTTAAAATTTTCGACTTAGTCTTTACGCGTATAAGGGCTGGCAAAACTTAAGTTTACTTATAGGTGTGTTAAAACGTTCGAGCCGGGCCTGTGTAGGATCTATACGGAAGTTTTACTCGCTATATAGGTCGTTACGGACGAGTTAAGGGTCGTCATCTCCCTCTTTTGCCGCTTTATCGTCTTTTTCGGGTTAATGCTCGGGACACGATCAAGTCCGGATTGCGA